AAATAACCATAAAGTTCAGATACCCCATTCTCAAATCACTGTTTGATATGTGTGTACCTGGAAATAAGAGTGTATCCAATGTATTATCTGTTTGGCAAAAAAAAAAAAATAGTTTTTTTATATTACCCAAGGCTCATATTTCATACTTCAGAAATGCACTCAACTATCTTCTATTCTTTTGTGCTATCAGATCAAGATCTTTAGGAGTATTTTTTGATTGTTGCTTTCATTTTAGATAATTTTCACATCAACACCTCAGATTATTTGAGCCAATTTCTCTCCATCCATGTAGTGTAATCTCATCATCACAAATTGTTTGGCTGTGGATGTGTTGCTGCACTCTTTTAATGGTGAGCAGAGTTTGATCCATTTTGAGAATGTTTGATCCACAAGGAGATTTCCTAGGAGAGAGGAAGAAGAAGCAAATGTGAATTCCTATCCCCTGGAAGATGAAGAATCATTAATTCTTGGCCAAAATAATGTCATTATATTTAGTAATTACCTAAGTACCTGGAAAGTTTTTATTTGAAAACATTTTTTTTTCCTTTCTGAAGCATCTGTTTCTCTTAAAAGTTAGGTGAAATTCAAACTGTGCTGAAAAAATAAAGGAGAATCAAATTTGGTGGTAACAGAGATTTAACCCAGGGGCACTCTGCCACTGAACTACATCCTCAGCTTTCTTTGTTTAGAAACAGGGTCTCCTAAGTTGCTGAGGTTGGTCTAGAATTTGGGATCCTGCCTCAGCCTCTTGAGTAGCTAGGATTGCAGATACACACACCTGTGCCTGATTTGAATTCACTTTTAATATTATCACCATATTTATTTTCTTAATTTCAAATTTTGACAAGACACTTTTGTAAAACAAAAAGAAAATATGTGTTTTCTCTTTGTACCAATTCAATAAAGACAACAAAATTGTTAAGTGAAAAAATTACTTCAAGCAGATGGAGACAAGGATGTGGACATGACTTTAGTTCTTGGAGGTGACTTAATTAGTGAGAAATTATATATTGATCTACTTTAAAGAAAAAAGGTCCTGTGTAGTTTTTGGAAAATATTTTTCAAAAATAGGCTTTTGGGGCTGGGAATATAGCTCAGTTGGTAGAGTGCTTGCCTCTCACGCATAAGGCCCTGGGTTCAGTCCCCAGCATCACAAAAAAAAAAAAAAGGCTCTTATACAAGTTGCTTTGTAAGTGCTTCCTCATCTACAAGAAATGGTAAGGATACACAGACACAGCCACTGACAGCTGATGTTCATGAGTGGGTAGAAGAGAAGATTAGGGAAGTAGGAAATTCTACACAGGGTAGTTGCAGTAATGAACTTGGTGTTGTTCTCCAACCTGATCTAGTAAGCAATTTGGTTAGGATGATTAATTCCACAATGTCTTGGTGGATTTAAATTACCATCTATACATTTCAACTCATTCAGTTGAGAACAATATTGGTTTTTTCCATAAGCTTTACATGTCTGAGCCTTAATAATTCTCACCCCTTTTCACACCCTTTCTCTTTACTCTTAGACTATTACACACTCCTTCCTTTCTACCCTGAAACTTCCCTGATTCTTGCTTTCCAATATCTAGGTTAACAACTAGATATTTGTGTATTTGTCATAAGTATACCCGATGAGAGTCAGGTGTTTTTAGGAGTAGCAATTCAATTGTAGATACCCATAAATTATCTCCTGAAAGACAGTTATCTCATGCAACATGAGTTCAAATCACATTGAAATCAATTTCCATAATAATAGAAATAGTATAGCAATCAAATAACAACTTGTCAACATTTTTCATCATTCCTATCCAGTAAGACCCACAAATCTCCAAGCTCCTGGCATGCAAAAAAGTTCTTGGCTTTTCCTTAAAACTCACTTGATACCTTTCATTTCTAACTTATTTCAGTGAGTAATAGTTAATTTTTAAAAAAGTAAAATGCATATCAGCTAGGGGTAAATGCTTACCCTGTCAAAGTCTCTTTAATGTTTCTCCAACATTAGCTTATATCAGAATCACTTGGAACCTTGTTAAAATCCACATTCCCAGAGACCAGAACCAGGGTGCCTGGTAGGGAGCCCTAGGATTTAAGTCTAAGAAGTGCCCAAGTGATGGTGATGCTGTAGCAACCACATTTTGACAATTACTGCTTTGGACGGCATTTTCCTGCTTATTTAACAAAAATTAGAGGGCAATAATCAGGTTCACTAAAGTCAAGATAACTTCCGTACAAAAAGTTGGTGAAAAATTTCATCATCTTTTCGTAGACCCACAACATTCAGTCCCAGACTACTTGATAAGTGACAGAAATACTTGTCTATTTAATTAGGATAGCCATCATTTATTAAGCAATGGTGCCAATATGTTTACATATGCTCTCTTATTTAAATCCTCAAAAGGCTATAAATCAGGTGTTATTGCCTTTTTTTTTTAAATGAGTAGATTGAGCCTCAGAAAGGTAGAGTGACAACCCTAAGGTTAAATGCCTAATGACAGATATTTCAAACTCAATTTACCTTCCTTGAAAGCCCAGGCATCTAACGATCATCCCCTATTGTTCCTTTGATTTCCGTGTATTACAATTTTTTCCTTTATTTTTCTCTCCTTTTCAGACATATTTTTTTTTAAATCACTTAATACAAATGTCCTTTGGCTTGTTCCCAATTTCAGTCAGTGATAAAATAAAAGAAACATTATGTAACTAAAGGGGAAAATAAATTCAGGGCTCTGTCTCGTGCAAATGCCTGTCAGTATTTAAGTATTATTCTAGAAGGTGAGTACTTTGAGAAATGTGTCTTGTCAGGCATAGGCATGCGTTCTCTTATAATACCTGAATATAAAAAGACTGTGGTGATAATGAAAACAATAATAAAAATAAAGGATGGGTTTGTGCTCACCAAGGTTTGGCAGGTATTCTGAGTTGCATTTCTACAATGTGGGCAGATTAATTTCTAGGGTTGCAGTTTTACTATTTTTAGAGTTTAGCATTGTTTCACAGTTGCATTGCTGATGCTTTTTGGAAAAAAAAAAAAAAAAAAAAAAAAACAAGACTTGTTCATCAGTTCATGCTCCTGTCTGTCCTTCAGCTGTGTAGGCTGGGGAGCAAATAACTCTCTGATCAGGTAGCATCAGGCCTGTGTGAGGATTGCTGCCCTCATCTTAGAAAGGAGAGTGCCAAAGAGGGTTGCTTTGAGAGACTTTATTTAAAAAAAAAAACAAACAAACAAAAAAAACACTGATTATTCTCAGTCTTAAAGATCTGTAAACCACTTACCTCTCATAGGTTGGAACAACCATAAAAACCGAGCAATTTAGTAATGCTCAGTACTTTGAAACAAAGTTGAGTAATGATTACATCTATTCAGGCTCCCTGCACCTAAGAGATTATTATTATTATTGCTACTTCTAAAAACTATTCTTATTGTTGTTGTTATTATTATTATTATCATCATCATCATCATATAATCAGAATTTATAATATCATGGTTTCGGAATTTGTGAAAATTCACTTAAGTAACACTAAATCCAGTCATTTCCTATGAAGAGTACCTTTATTGAGAAAGTTCCCATAGAAATGTGATTGTAAGGGTCATGTTTAAAACCCATTTTACAACATCAATTTACAGAGGCAATTCAGTTTTAATCAGTAAAGTAAGTACCTCAAAGCCTCTCACTATTAGTAGCATCCAATTAGG